ATAGTTATCAAAGAATATCATGGAGAAAAAACAAGGCAACACTAGCCCTTCCAGACATTAGAAAAACATACTGCAACACATCAACAATCAAAATCACATGACACTGGCACCACACTGGCAACAAAATTAATTGGATGTATAGAGTCCAGAAATGAATTCTCATTGCAAATAAGAATGTGATAAATGAGCCCTGGCCGGTTTGGCTCAGCGGTTAGAGCGTTGGCCTGTAGTCGAGAGATACCGGGTTCGGTTCCCGCTGGGGACATGTACCTCGGTTGCAGTTTGTCCCCGGCCGGCCCTGGCTGGGTTGTGCAGGAGGCAGGCAGCCACTCAATGTGTCCCCTTCACATTGATGTTTCTCTCTCTCTCTCTCTCTCTCTCTCTCTCTCTCTCCCTCCCTCCCTCCCTCCCTCCCTCCCACTCTATCTGAACAAAAGATGGAAAAATGTCCTCGGGTGAGGATTAAAAAAAAACAAAAACAGAATGTGGTAAATGATAAACACTAAGCAAAATCACAGTGAGGAAAGAAAACTATTTAATTAATGTTTATAGGACAATAGGACCCTGATAACAGAGAAACAGGAATTTAGCCCAGCCCTCATTATATGTACAGATGCAGATATACCACTATAAATTCCAGTGGGAGAGTTATGTTTTAACATAACATCATGAAAAAAGTGATACAGAATAAAGTGTTAATTCCATTTATAGATGAGAGATTTTTTTCACTTCTGAAGCAAAAAGTAAAATTAAAAACGCTGAGACATAATGATTTTTAAAAATTTTAACTTCTTCTAAAAAGCCACAAAAATGAGATAAAAGGCAAAACAATGACATGGGGGAAACTTATAATCATAAATATAACAGGTAAAACATATAGTTAGATACTGCACACCCATTAGGATGGCTATTATTAAAAAAAATGGAGCCCAGCCGGTCTGGCTCAGTGGTTGAGCATCAACCCATGCACCAAGAGGTTGCTGGTTCGATTCCTGGCCAGCGCACATGCCCAGGTTGTGGGCCGGATCCCCAGTGCAGTGTATGCAGGAGGCGGCCAATTGATGTTCTCTCTCATCAATGTTTCTATCTCTCTCTCCCTTCCTCTCTCTCTAAAATCAATAAAGAAAAAAAATTACCAAAAAAAAAAAAAAAGAGCCCTGGCCTCTCCATTAGGGCATCGGACCACAGACCAAAGGGTTGAGGGTTCAATTCCGGTCAAGGCCACATACCTCGGTTGTGGTTCATCCCTGGCTCTGGTTGGGCCTTGAGAGAGGTGACAAGTTGATGTGTCTCTCTAACATCAATGTTTCTTTGTCTCTCTCTCTCCCTCCCTCCGTCCTTCCCTCCCTTTTTATCTAAAGATAAATAGAAAAAAAATATCCTCAGGTGAGGATTAAAAACAAAAATTTTTTTTTTAAAGTATTGGCAAGATGGGAAACTGGAACCCTCATTCATTGCTGGTGGGAAGGTAAAATGGTGCAGCTGCTCTGGAGAGCAGTTCAAGGGCTCATCGAAAAGTTAAACATAGAATCACCATATGACCCAGCAGCTCTCCTGGTGGGTATACAGCCGAAAGAATCAAAAGCCTGGATTCAAACAGATACTTACTTGTACACCCACATCATAGCAGCATTGCTCACAGTAGCTAAGAGGTGGACACAATCCAAATGTCCATCGATGCTTCTCTCTATCTCTTTCTCTCCCTCCCTCCCTCCCACTCTAGCCGATGATAAATAGAAAAATATCCTTGGGTGAGAATGGTAAATTTTACGTTACATATATTTTACCACAATTTGCAAAAAAAAAACAAAACTTGAATCTAGGATTATAAATAAACTTCCAAATCTCCAAAGGGTAATCAAACACTATGAAAAAAGTCACATGAGAAAAGAAACAGTCAAGCAATAATAATTGAAGAAATGTAAGGAGGTTAAACAATGAGGTGGCGCTTAATACCTGTTAACAAATAGATAAACCAGTATTTATAAGGTTGCAGGAAAAAATAAACCTCACATACTACTTGAGGACAATTTCACAGTGCCTTGTGGCATAATGCTTGCTTCAAACCTCTTGGAAGGCAATCTGATAATATACATTAATCTCATGTTAAAAATTCATATCCTTTGACTCAAGAACTTCATTCAAGAAGAAACAAAGCTGTGTGCAAAGATGTCTATGTCAGGTTTTAGTTTTACAATGTGGAAATACACTAGAGTTGAGGAATGGTTAAAGGAATTAGGGTGTATTAACTGTGAAATAGTATGAGGCCACTAAAAAGGGGTGAACAAAAAGACCACAGACAGATACATGGAAGCATGTATAAAAAAAAAAAAACACCAAAGTAAATAAAATAAAATCTATCCATGCTGCATAACTATAACCATATGAAATTATTTATAAAGATAAAAAAACTAATGACAATTGAGAACTTACTGTGTCCCAGGCACCATGCCAGGCACTCTACATGTTTTACATAATTTATGCCTATAATAACACTATCAGATATATATATCTTGTCCTAATTTTATTAATGAGAAAACTAAGACCCAGAAAGTTCTTGGGCCTTATGTACAGACTGCACACTAGGGATAGGAATCTAACTGTAGCCAGTGTGACTCCCCACCTATGTGCATGGAAATCACATTTAAGGGAGGAGTCAGAAATGTAATTTTTTTGGATAAAGTTTTCAATAAAAAATTAGAAAGTAAATCATTTCACATGAGTCTCAATGAAGTGCTATACCATTATATTTCTTGATTCCACCACTTCTAAAACTTAGAAATATTATATTTATATAGACAGGCTGCCATTCACTTTCATTTTATAAAAATGATTACCTTACAGTTATGACAACACAAAGCAACCACCTGGAACTCAGCTCCGTTTTTGCCCCAAATGTCTTTTTCATGCATAACTGTGGGGCACAGCCAAAAGGGCTTGCTAAATAAATCTCGGATGTCTGTGGAAACGTTTCCTGGAGGCGCGGCTCCCGACCACCACCATGTTGGGGCTGGTCCTCACAGTGCTAAGGGGAACATGTTGAAGGATGGAGCATTATCCTCAGAAACCCTTCTGCTCCTATGCTGCCAAAGAGGGGGACTCTTCCTGCTCCCCAAAGGAAAGGTAAGGTCTTTCTGTACCCCTTGGATAGACATTAAAGAACCCAAGATGTCCAGGCTGGCTGTGAGGCAAAGGTGAGCTGTCATCATAGCAGAAAGGAGGGAAGAGACAGATGAGACAGCAGCCAGTCCTCAGTATTTTAACAGGCAGAAAGCCCTTAAACGCAGTGACTGTCCTCCACAGATAGGTTCTGGGAACAGCATTCAAATACACTGCCATAAAACATTTCCAAGGCAGCTTGGGGTTACGGATTACTTGGCTTTCTGAAGACATGGTTGGCACCTGCCTGGTCTGCTTGAAACATAGTGTTCCTGGAGATAAGGACAATACGCTAAGGTAACTAAAAATAAATGTCAGACAAATACAGATCTGTTTAAACGTCAAGAGTGACTCAAGACCATCACCATATAAAGTCAATTTACCAACAGTTTTCCCAGGAAAAGCAGAGTTAGGTGAGGGAAAGCAGCGTCCCCGGAAGAACCAAGTGGTTGGTATCATGGCCAAGGCCTCCAGGAAACAACTAGTTCCAAAGAGCCAGTTTCCCTGGCCCTCCCTCACAAGTGACTTATTTTTCTAGAATGTATACTGGAGCTCACAGAGCTACACACAATTTTCTATAACATGGCCCATGGCCACCACCTTGCTGTCCCCTTCACACAGAGGGCAACATCCATACTGACAGGTTGGCACGGGAGCGCTAGGCAGGCTGAGACAGCACCTCCAGCTCATCTTCATCCTCAGGGCAGCTAGTTAACTCAATTCCTTCAGGCAGGTCCCCAACTCATGCAGCGAGCCCTGCAGGACACAGGCCATCCACCCCACAGTCCCTGGCAGGTAACGGTATAACTAGGCACCGTGAGCCTTCAGGGGGCACTGCAGCCCGTAATCGGTGCTGCCTGAGAACTGAGTCATTAAAAATTAACCCAGGTCGATTTCTCCTACTCAGAGCTGTCACACAAAGGGCACCAACAAAACTATGACCCACTCGTGTGGAGAAGCCACGCTGCTCCAGATCTCATCTTTAGTGTCACAGCCCTGCTGTCACAAGCATCTACAAAATTATTTCAGGTGTCACTTACCAATCTAAATACCTAGTTTAATAAAGCAATATCTATGTCCCTCCCCAACTGCCCCAAATTAAGACAAATTACCAAATGACCAGCAGTCACTAAAGATCTGACGATTTTCAAGATGCTTAGAAAAATGAAGTATTTTGTATTCCTTTTTCCATTTCAATCCAACACTGACCTGATGAGACCGATGGAAAGCATGACAAAGAAATGAATTGTTTTGAAATAGGTCTTTCCCTTCCCACTTACAAGGATACAGCCAAGTGCAGAGATGCTCTATGTGGATGTGGAAGGTCTAACTGTCTATTCTCAAATGGCACAAACACTATCCCGGAACAGCCACTGAATGCCACCCGGCGGCAGTGTGGCTTTGCCCCCATCAGCATCCCAAGCGTCAATAGTGCTGCCATTTTCTCTAACTTAGCTCCTAGCAACACTATTCAGTTTTCTTTCTCCCTGAGTCTGATCATTTCCTTAAATTAAGGAAAGAAAAAATGTGTCATGTATAAGTAAGATATTCTCTCCCAATGAAATCCAATGTTGATATGAAATAAATACAAAAATCAATATTTTTATTTCTGTGCAAAGAAATTTTAGAAGAGTCACATGGGGATTAACCTTAGCTATACAGAATATGCCAAAGATAAAGACAGATGGGTCAATGGAAAGACTGATGGATTCAAATTTGTCTTCATGTTGGAGTCTTCCCTCACCCACCCTACACTTAACATAGGCAGAATCCCGACTTCCTGTGAGAACAGGTTAGACGCCATTGATTCAGTCCGGCTGGCATTCTGGGCTGTCACTCACCTGTGCCATTGGCCAAGCCACTGTGGCTTGGGTTCTTGATGGGCTGGCGGTGCCGGTTGCTAGTACCAGGGCTTCGCTCACCGGTTGCTGTGGTTGTTCTGGCTGAACCACCTGAATGTCTATGCGTCCTGGGGGTTCAAAGTATAAAGCAGACAGACATAAGTTACCGTGGAAAAAAAAAAGAAGGATATCCCACCTAAGTAACCGCATTCCCTCTCTCTCTCTCTATTTATTGGAAGCAAAACCTTCAATCGCCCCTGTACTCTTTAACTCAACAGACGCTGGCTCCAGAGAGGCCCAGGTAAGCTTCCTTCTTGGTAAAAGCCCAGAAGGCAACTTTGGGTAAACTTTTCCACTTGAAGTAAACAAATCCGGAGTGAATTACTCCCACATCTGAAATGACTGGCAAAATATCCTGTGACCATCACATTATTTTCATTGGGCTTGAATGTAAGAAATAAACAAGAATCACTAGACCACTGGACAGGGTACAGATGACACATTTCTCCTGTTAGGCAGAGCCCAAAACTTATTCAAATCCATTTTCTCTATAGTTAGAAAGATGTGCCCTGGCTGGTTTGGCTCAGCGGTTAGAGCGTCCGCCTGCGGTCCGGAGAGACCCGGGTTCGGTTCCCGCTAAGGGCACGTACCTCGGTTGCAGTTTGTCCCCGGCCCTGGTTGGTCGTGCGGGTGGCAGCCACTCGATGTGTCCCTTTCACATCGATGTTTCCCTCTCTCTCTCTCTCTTCCTCTCTCTCCCTCCTACTCTGTCTGTACAAAAAATGGAAAAATGTCCTCGGATGAAAATTAAAAAAAATAAAATAAAAAAAAAAGAAAGAAAGATGTTTCTCTTCGAAACAGAAGTCAAGGGACATTAGACAACTTTAGCCAGTGCATATGTTGACGTGTTTTATCTAGAAAAGATGACTCCACAACCCATCCAAGTAAAGGAGAACCAGTGCGAAACGTGGCCTGTAGCACAAGGAAAATGGCAGAATCTAAAAACAGAGAACCTATATGACATCTTTAGAGAACACAGGCAGCAGGCAGTATGTGTTCTCACATGCCTATTGTAATTTGACTTCATTCACTCAGTGAAAATGTCTAAGCCTCCTTGCCCTTCAGTTCAGCAGTTTTGTCAAAGCAGATTATTCTACTACTCAGTCACTATATAATATTTTACAATAGTGAGATGATTTTTTTTTTATTATTCTTTTTTTTTTAATCCTTACCCGAGGACATTTTTTCATCTTTTTGTTCAGGTAGAGTGGGAGGGAGAGAGAAGAACAGAGAGAGAGAGAGAAACATCAACGTGAAAGGAACACATCGAGTGGCTGCCACCCGCACAACCGACCAGGGCCGGGGACAAACTGCAACCGAGGTACATGCCCTTAGCGGGAACCGAACCCGGGTCTCTCAGGACCGCAGGCCAACACTCTAACCGCTGAGCCAAACCGGCCAGGGCAATAGTGAGATGATTTTAATAGTATCCAGTACCTGGCCAACGTGGCTCAGTGGTTGAGCATCAACCCATGCACCAAGAGGTCACTGGTTCAATTCCTGGTCAGGGCACATGCCCAGGTTGTGGGCCTGATCCCCAGTGGGGGGCATGCAGGAGGCAGCCAATCGATGTTTCTTTCTCTTTCTCCCCCTTTCCCTTCTTTCTCTCTCTCTAACATCGATAAAGAAAAATAAATAAATAAATAAAATAAATAGTATCCAGTGAAGAAGAGACTACCCCTCTCCAGGCAGAGAAACAAAGGTCCAGAGAACAATCTAGACCAAGGACATGGGGCAGAGGGAACACTATCAACAGTAAAATAATAATGATGACTGTGGACGTATATACTATGCACTGAGCTGCAACATTATATTCCAGGTACCTGTGGTGTGCTGTGCACTTTACAAACATTACCTCATTTAACATGGCAACCCTAGAAGTAGCTTACTATTATGATGCCCACTTTTTTTTTTTTTACCCTCACCCGAGGACATTTTTTCATTTTTGTTCAGATAGAGTGGGAGGGAGAGAGAGGAAGAGCGAGAGAAACATCGATGTGAAAGGGACACATCGAGTGGCTGCCACCCGCACGACCCACCAGGTCCAGGGACAAACTGCAACCGAGGTACATGCCCCTAGCAGGAACCGAACCCGGGTCTCTCTGGACCACAGGCCAATGTTCTAACCGCTGAGCAAAACCGGCCAGGGCATTTTGAAATAAGAAAACAGACGAAGAAAAGTCCAGTAGAAAGTAAGCAATCGAGAAAAGACTCAAATTCAGGTACCTGAAGGTCAATAGCACATGCTCTTTGGTTGCAGCCTGGGGTGGGAGGCTTGGACTGCAGCTGAATCCCTCCTCAGTGGTTCTTTGACTAGTCACTTAGCCAATGGCAAGATGAAGAGCTCGAACAGCGAGTCCCTCACACTGGGAGATGCTGTACCCACTAGAACACCTCTGCTGGTCCGAATCTAGTCCAGCCACTTAGGACAAGCCTGCAACACCACAGACTTGGAGGTTCCGAGGGGACTAAGTACCTCTCCACTGCCTACCTTCTCTAGCACAAGAAACACATTTTTCCAACAAGATGAGCACAAGCCAAAATGTTAACAATGATTATCTTTGGGTGTTGAAAATACAATGCCTTTAGCTTTTCCTTTTGTGTTTTTCTAAATTTTTCTAGCTTCCGCCCTGGCCGGTTTGGCTCAGCGGTTAGAGCGTCGGCCTGCGGTCCAGAGAGACCCGGGTTCAGTTCCCACTAAGGGCATGTACTTCGGTTGCAGTTTGTCCCCGGCCCTGGTTGGTCGTGCGGGTGGCAGCCGCTCGATGTGTCCCTTCACGTCGATGTTTCTTTCTCTCTCTCCCTTCCTCTCTCTCCCTCCCGCTCTATCTGTACAAAAAATGGAAAAATATCCTCGGATGAGGATAAAAAAAAATTTTTTTTTAAATTTAAATTTTCCTAGCTTTCTTCATTGAGTTTATATGTATACTTTTGAGCAAGAAAGAAAACAATTTTTTAAAAAGAAAAAAAAGTTTTTCTTGGGCCCATACAACAACAAAAAAACAGGAAACCCAGCAAACCCTGGAGTCCTTCTTACCTAAAGACTGCGTGGCAGTTACAAATGGATAGAGAGGGCACAACTGAGCTATGGAAATAAAGATTTAATTTGGACTCTCTTTTTCCATCTTATTTTCCCCTGAGCTAATTTCATAAATCAAAAGTTGTCAACCACACCTCAGTCAAGAAAAATATTTCAAAGTCCCCACTTCATGGGAAGAAATGTTAGTATTCAGCATTTTACCACAACTCCTCATCGAAAGCAGAACAGATACAGATGAGTTCCAAAGGGAAACTCAGACTTCAGCCACTGGTGAATGTGTGGATATATGTTGAGGGCAGAGAGCTAGAGAGAGATAAAGTGGGTTAAGGGAAGGTTTATTCCAGCCAAGAATCCCTTACAAGGACAAAAGGCCTCTCTAATTTGGTGCTCTCAGCCCCTGGCGGAGGGCTGCGTCCCTTAGGAGCAGCAGGCCGCGTGGGCAGCATGGAAAATGCAACATCAGTCCTGTCACACACACGGGCTCTGACAAGCCCATGATTACGTCCAGTTGTCCAGTTGCCAAGCTCCTTGTCCCTGGGCAGAGCAGCTGGGCATGACAACAGGGTGGGTTCCGTTCCTCTCCTAGCTCCTCCCTCCATTCCCGAAAGGGCGTGCGGTCAGAGTTGAGAGAGAATACTTTCAGAAATGTTTAACCACAAATGATAGCCGCTTACCCTGAATGGCAGGCTGGAGCGGAGCCGGGATTAGTCCATAAACCAGGGGCAGCTGGGACCACTTTGCATGAACAGCCGCCTCCTGCTGTGGCCCACTGCCACCCTGCTCCCCTCACCATACACACGTCCTCCCCCAAGACCCTTCCTTCCCCCTAAATCTGGAGCTTCCACTTTTTCCTCTTGAATTGCCTTTCCAATAAGACTCTCAGAAGGAAGAGAAGGCCTCAACGTTTGAGGAAAATCTCTTCAGCAGTTTCCTCTCTTGGAGGACTCGCTCAACCCTTAAAAGACAGGATTGGGTCGTGATTAAAAGCTGGCCCAAATGCTGAAACCGCACACCATAAGCCAAAATAGTTTCAGGACAAAAGCGGGGTGATGGGGTGGGGATGAGCTGGGCTCCACCACAGACAGCCTGGCTTCAGTTCTGCCAGTGACTTCAACCTTGGCCTGATCTCCACCATCTCGGGGGATCGGGGGCTAGTGGGGGAGTTAGGCGTCCCCAGGGTAGTCAAAAGAAGGTGGAACCTCGCAACTCCACAAATGGTTCAAGTCACCTAGTTACAGACCTTCAGCTCTCTTTACAGCATGCCCTTCGCAATGCTGGTGTGTTCGTACCTAAGTTCCTCCCTCAGAAACTGAGGCCCCCCATGAGGAATGCCAATCAAGGCCAGGGCCTTAGGAGTCTCTCTCCAAGCTCCTGAAAGGGGATCAGATGCAGGTAAGGTCCCCAAACAATGGGCTCTGGGCTGTCCCTTGATATGCAAGTTTTGACATTCACAGCATTGGCCTCAGTGCTCAGCTGACCCTGACTGCCAGAGCCTTAGGTACCTTGGGACATCTGCGTCGCCCTTCATGAAGGCCACTGAATTCCATTCTGTCATCATGTTCTGAGCACTAGGCCCTAGGATCTAGGTCTAGCAACAAAACAGAAACAGTCTTGGACCTCAGGGAGCTTACATCCAAGTGGAAATGCAGTAATTTGTAATTTTGCTCAGACATAAATTTGCATCACACCCTACAATACTGGTGTGTGGGAGGGAGCCACCTGGCTAGCCAGTGAGCCTGAATGACAAACTGACACTGTCACCCCAGCGCAGCTTTGTTGACCATCATCACATATGCAATACTTTATGCAAAGTAATTCAACAAATTTTCTTTATTTTTTAAAAAGTAAGCCAGCATTGGTAGCATAAGTGAAAAAGAAGAGCCCAAAAAAATGATGGTTCACAAGACGGACACAAATTTTAAAATTTGGTGGTGATTTAGAATTTGAGATCAATAAGTCTATCACATCCTTTATGTGGAAATTGATTTTAAAAAGTACTCGGTAGCTTCATCAAAATTCAGAGCTCCT